ATTATTTTTTATATTAATTAATATAAAAATATATATTAATTACACGTTACACAAATTAAATAAGGTTAAACTTTTATTTTGATCCCTCAATTATTATACAGACCTTTGATTAAGTCTCTCAACTCAAAAAATTTCCATTTTGACCCGAATGGATCCTTCTGTTAAAAACTCTTGTTAATTAACGATAGAGTTATGACATGTCAAAAAATTTTTGCCACGTAAATTTGACAGCATGGATAAATAAATGACATGGAAAAAAACATTAACAAATTCCTTTTTTTTTTTTTCTTCCTCCCTTATATCCTCTTTCTCATTTTCTTTCTCTTTGCTCTTCCTTCCGTCTGCTCCTATAAACCCAAACACCTGACAACTCCAAATTCATAGAACTTGGATCATGATATCTTCTCAATCTCACCATCCTGACAACTCCAAATCCCTAGATTTCCCCTCTTTCTCTTCTCGCTTTCTCATTCCCCTTCTGTCTTTCATTTTTGCCTAAATAATCCTAAAATATCTAGGTTTGTAGAACCCAAAAACACAGATCTGGGTTTTCGGAGCAAAGAACTTTCGATTGGATAATGGGTAGAGGTGGTTTTGATGGGCCAACCAAAATAACAAGAAATAGTCATCGGAGAAGGGGAAGATGATTGGAGATGAGAGAGAAGTAATAGATCGAATCCATGGGAAAGGGATGTGATATCGAAAGCATTGAAATTGGTTGGCTTTTCTTGATGGGGTTAGTGAGTTTTTCCATTGAACCCAGGCACGCTGGGTTTGAAGGAACCTAATGCCTATAGGGTTCAATCGAACCCAACGGCTGTTGGGTTCGATGCCGAGTGCTTGCTGGGTTTGATTGAACCCAGCAACGCCTGTTGGGTTCAATCGAGTGGCTTCTTTTTCCCTTTTACTCCTCCTTCCTTCTCCCTTTGATCTCTAGGCCTCCTTTGTTCTCTTTCTTCGCTCACCAACGGTGTCCGATAGAGACTATAGGGAAGTCAGCAATGGAGATCGAAGACCCAAATACATGTTCCAGGGTCTAACGTTGGTGTGAAAGTGGTGCTGGTGTCAAAGTTCTCAATTATGCTAGTTTTGAAGTACTTGGCTTTACTTCCTTGCTCCACCTTGGGATATCTCAGGCAGCTGAGAAAAGTATAAGGGTTTGCCAAAGGCAAAGGAAAGGAAGAGGAAAGAGAAAGGGGAAAAAGGTTATTTTTGCCGTTTAGAATTGTTTGGTTCACTGTACCCAGATCTGGTGTTGTGAAAGGGAGAAAGAAAATAAAAGGATTTAGAGGTTGAAGTAAGAGTAACATGGTCATTATCATATTAGGGATTGCCTAGACAATTTTTTTTTTTGTCAGGTCATGTTTATTTGATTTGGGATTGAATCTTCATTTATTAATAATTAATTACAATTAATTTTTTAATTATTACACTTATAAAAAAATAGTAAAAATTAAATTAAGATTTGTTCGGTCATTATCATATTAGGGACTAGTAGATATTTGTTTTGGTCAAATCATGTATTTTGTCACATTGTAAATTTTATGAATTTTATTTATTGAAAATACATGCTTATGTGGTTAGTTAATATGTCACATCAATAAATCAATTTGGGTCAAATGAAAAATAGTAAATATCAAATCAAAAATTTTTTGAGTTGAAAAATTCAATTAAAAGTTCATACAATAATTGAATGATCAAAATAGAGATTTAATCATTAAATAAATATTTGTTTTAAATCCTTTTAGCTGCAACATTTGATTGGGCCTGACAGCGTATGCTTGCCCCTCTCGGCCCCTTTTGGATACAACATGGACTGCGCATTAGGCCCCTGGCAGGCTGGCTGGCTGGCTGGCCTGTGAGCGGATGCTTGTCTGTTACTTTCTCACAGTCGTTGGATTTTTTAATCCGATGGCTGAGATTTTTTTTAATTTTCTTTTAAATTATATAAAATAGGAATAGAATAAAATTATTATTTTGTAATTTTTAAGAAAATTTTATTTAAGAAAATGCATTGAAAGAAGAGAAATGTTCTATATTAGCTATTGTATTTAAGAATTAAAATATATAAAAAAAAATAAAGATTTATTTATACAAAAATTTTACACATTATATTTATAAAAAAAATCTTAATTTTTTTTAATTTTTAATAACTAAAATTTATTTATAT